ATTGAAAGGATCATGAAATGAGCTTTTCACTGAAGAGTAATAGCGCGTTCACACGTACCGTAAAACCCAGTTTCGAACGCGTATCTTACGGACTCCGTACGATACGCGTACAGCGTTAAACAGCGTTCACACGTAGTTTTGGAATGTACTTACGTCGCGTTATAGCTGGGCGCAAGTAGTAAGCGCAGTGAGCTCATATTTCGTAATCTGCGCATACTGTTTTGTTTCCGGTTAATGGCGCGCGCTTTCCATGATCACCATACCACTCGATCGTGCGCTAGCACATGCGGTGTACGTTAACGGCATGCCAGGCTGGCACACATAAGTTTATTGTATTGTGTGAAGTTTTTTTTGTTGGCTACTGTCTATTTCTGGTAGCACAGTGGAAGCTCTAGTATGGATCAAGGGAGGCTTTATTTATTATCCTTATGCTTGCAATTGTTGCAGCTACAAGCCCAGTTGGTATTAATGACCATCACTTCACAAGACGAGGATAATTATGTAGTCAGTCGACTGTCATCATTGAGGTCACGATATCGGCGTAATTCCATCCGGCAGTACATTGACCACAGGCATAGTTGTAGAAGAGCGAGGAGAATTTATGCACTGGCTACTCGACTTCATACCTGTCTGCTGAGCATGGTTCGACAGATGTGTACAATCAATCGGACTGTATAGGTCTACTACCGACCCCCAGAAGTATGGGAAAACGCCAGACGCTCATGTCCCAATGCCGAATGGCGAAAACATTTTCGTATGAACCGAAAAACGTTCCAGTATATTGTTGACGAACTAACCCCTTTCATCATTCATGAAAACACGTGCATGCGGGATTCTATATCGCCGGAAAAACGAATTGCAATCGCTATATGGCGGCTTGCAACACGACGCATATCGCACGATAGCTCACATGTTTGGGGTCGGCGTTTCTACTGCATGTGTAATTACACATGAAGTATGCAGTGCTATACAAGAACATTTACTCCACCGGTTTATCCGCATACCTAGGGGAAACGCTTTAGAAGAGGTGGTGCAGGGTTTCGAGGAAATGTGGGGCTTTCCACAGTGTGTGGGTGCCGTAGATGGTACACATATCGAGATTGAGGCACCAACTGAAAACTCAGCAGACTACTTTAATAGAAAAACGTACCACTCAATAATAATGCAGGCTGTTGTCGACCACAAGCTATGGTAAGCCAATGCTAGCCCTCGTAATAACCCCTGTGCATTATCATTATCATATTTGTTATTATTGTTAGCTTTATTATCATCATTCATTAATTTATAGTGGTAGTAGTATAAATATGTTACCGTTGGTATATCTGACAGGACTTTTCATTTTATTAAACGTTTGATGCTTCATTTATTTAGAAATATTTTGACCACCCTTTGTAGTTAAAGGTATATATTAACCTATTTCGATAATACTTTTTTTTTCACATGTTCCTATTCATAGATGTTTACATTGGATGGCCTGGAAGTGTGCATGACGCTAGAGTGCTGTCAAATACTTCCGTTTATCGCCAAGGAGAAGCTGGAACCCTGTTCCCTCTGGTAAGATGAAATATTTGCAGTACATCCTTGTTTTCATGTTTTGTCAATGATATTTAATTTTCCTAAATATGCTGCTTAATTGGTGTATGATTTTCGTGGTGTAATTGCTATGCATACCGAATTAATCACACCAGTTATGTAATGAAATTAAGTCAGACATCAAATTTAAACATGCATGGATGTAAACGTCTTGCCAAGTTGCCTACAGGGTATGAGGGAAATGGTGTTTACATGTCTATTTTTCCTGGCATTACTGTACAATTTTCTTTGTTTTTCTTGTACAATGAGCTTTGCAGTTTTGCTCAAGTTACAGTATGAGGGGATAAAAGTACAATTCGTCTACCAGGTGGCAAGGTATACTTTATACAAATTTTTGTCTGACCGCGTTGCTTTTATTCGTTTTTTTCAGCAAACAAGAGAATTCAACGGTGTTCAAATACCACTGATGATTGTAGGAGATGCAGCGTATCCTCTTTTGACATGGCAGATGAAGGGCTACACGTACATAGGTCACTTGACACCTGCTCAACCTAACTTCAATGAAAGACTGAGCCGTGCTAGAATGGTTGTTGAAAGAGCCTTTGGACAATTAAAAATGCGCTGGAGGGGTATCTACAAACTCAATGAGAGTAAGGTAACCTAAAAAAATAATAATTTTGTTCGAATTTTTTTGATCGCAACCGATAATTTTAGTCTATATTTGATCTAGTCATTTATATTTCTCTCTATTTAGCTTTACATAAGACATCCTGCAGTGTCATCCCACATGCAGAGTCACCTCGTTAAATTTACAGTGAATCGTACACAATACAAAAAAATTTAGATTTTCAGTTGACATGTACACCTTGTTTTTTTCATGTGACAGGTGGAGAATATGCTACACTTGGTTTCGTTGTGTTGTGTGCTGCATAACATCTGTGAATTCCAGTGTGATGTTCACGACTTTAATGACAGGAATGAGGAGCACGCAAATGAAGCACGCAAAGCATGTGATGCACATCCTCAGCAACATGGCGAAAATAACAATGCCACAGCAAATCAGTACAGAAATGCTCTCACAGAATACTTTTATGAATGAATGCAGTAACTCTAGAAACAGCGTCGTCTTATTTTTCCAGTTTAATAGGAAAATGGTCAATAACTTGAAAACATTAACACCTTGAATACTAAGGGTAAACATACAAAAACCTTCATGTACTGTTTCTACAACCTAAAAAAACGTCAGAATATTGTGTTCAACCATTAAACAAGCACACCAATCTATGTTCCATAGTCTATTAATATATCTGTACCTGATCACCAAATACAACGCAAAGGCAACGCAAAGGCAAGATTTTTTATTTTTCCTGATACAGCACTGGATATTGCTTACAATACTGGCAAGAAAGTGTATGAAGTATAGACAGCTGTCTATAGTCATTGTATAGTAACTTTAACTCTTGAATCAAACTGTTTAGTGAATAATGTGGTAAGATACAAATATATAATTGTGCAGCTTTTGTAAAGTGTAAACATACTACGCTCACAAATAAGAAAATTGAAAGATTGTCGGCAAAACTGGGACTATCATGTTGTCGAATGCGTTTTTTAGTATATTATATCCTTGGTTATACCACCTTGAACATACTTTAAGGTAACAGCGTAAATCTACTTTCACACACACACAAACTACACTACATTAGTACAGTAACTTTGCAATTAGCTATGCAAACTATTCAAATAACTATGAAAAGACGAGACATTGCTACAATAAATATCAACTACGATTTCTTTCTTTTGTCTGTGAAAGTAATCCATGTAGAACATAGATGTCGTCTTCTGTGTACAACCTGGTGAACATAATAAAACTGTTCCCCATCCCTACATAGCAGTGAAGTTTTCATCAGAATCTGCTGAGGTATTGGTCTCTGGAGTTGGCGTTGAATTGAAGCGTGGGGATGCTAGGGGACTCTCAGAATCTCCAGAAAACTCCGAGTATAACGTAGCCTCTGAATGTGATGGCATAAGATGATCGGACGTAGCTTGCGGAGAAAAATACGTCATGAAAGAATGGGCACGATTCATGGATCTTGGCTGGGTGCGAAAATTCATTGCCTGTGCGGGTGGACCACTTGGCATGAATGACTGAGGCCTGGCAGTGTACTGTGTAGGAGAAGAACTAATATTTTGTACACACTGTGCCAGCGCAGTTCAGGCACTGGACCATTTCATTGGATCATTGTTTCATTGCATCATTTGGACCATTTGTAGTTTGAATTCCCTGTCATCTGTTACTTTCCGTTCTTCTCTCTCCTCAATCCACTTCATTTCATTCCCTCGCATTCTTTCCTCATTCTGGAAAATCTCTTGTAATAAAATTTGCTGCTCCTGTTTATCTTGATGGTGCACTACACGCTGTTCCTCCCTGAACTCTTCCCAAGCTGCATTAACACTGTTTGTCACTCGGTTTTGTTTTTTAGCAGGGTCCTTTCCTTTGGATGATCCAGGACGCTTTATCCCCTTTTTTGGTCTGGGATCTGTTACAAAAAAAGGGGGAATTATTATATGTCTATTGTTGGTTGGATCTGTTGGAGAGGGAATGCTATGTCCCTTGAAGCACCATGTTGAACCATACATGTAAAAAGTCACTTTGTGAAAAAAATGCCCATGAACAGAAAACAAACGGACTATTTCTGACTTCCAAATTATGAGTACTATGCTTGTGATTGCTAAAAAATAATGTATTGGTACAACGAGTGTGCTATTTCTTGTGCAGCTGTTCAAATAAGTGCTATGACCTGCTATGCAGGAAAATAATTAGTGCCATAAATAGAGCCAAAAGTTACTAGTTGGTAGTTACAAAAGTTACACGTTGGTAACAGAATGACAGGGCTTACACAAGAGAATGTCACACAATACACAGGTGTTGAACATAGGTGGGTTACCTTTTTTGGTCTGTATGAGGGGGGGTGCAACATGTACATCATCAGTATTACCTTTGAAATCTCTTTTTCACCTTGTTTGTCGTCTTGTTTGGAAACCGCACTGTGGTCTCGACCAAGTATTACTAAAAAATTAAATGTAAATTTCATAATAGTGTTTTCAAGTACACATTTGCTTCAGTATTGCTGGTGTTAGTATCACCTACATGTATGCAACTCTAAAAAAATAAATACAAAATTAAACATGTTTGTGTAAAAAAGTGACACAAATTCATTATATAACTGACCCAAATATTGCTGAACGACTTTATCGCCCGATTAAATTGCCTAGTGTGTCCGGCCCTTGACCAAAAATGTGCCACAATGGCAGACTGACAAATTGCACAAATAATAGGTGCGTTCACACTGGCGCGAATTAGCGGGCTGCAAAACCCGGTTTTTGCAGCTCACTCGAAAAACTGAGCTTTTTACAAGTGTGAACGCAATTAGCTCACTAAATCGCGCTCCAAATAGCGCGCTCCTAAGACCATTTCCGACTGGGCTAATTTGGAATCAGCTCGCTTATTTGCACCGCGGCGTGTGTGTGAACGCTATTTATACCCGGTACTTTCTATCCCATCATTCCAAGCGATCGTATCAACATCCGGCAGTGAGCGGTGCTAGTGCTCGTACTGACGACATGTTTATTTCATCTTTCATTTTCATCTTTCATTTTTACCGTGGTCTGAATTAATTAACCGTAAATCTGTTAACTGTGCGATTGTGACGTGATGCCGAAATCGAAAGCTGGTACAAAGGCAGTATCTGGATCTGGAGGGGCTCACTGGAAGCATGAAGAAGTGGTAACCCTTATAAATGTATGGGGAGAAGAAGAGATTTTCCGTGAAACGAAGGACACGAGGATGAAGAGGAAGCCGGTGTATATTGAAATAAGCAGACGCTTGGCAGCGATCGGAATTTTGAGAGACGTGTCCCAAATAAAATAAAAAATAAAAAACTTGAAATGGGAGTTTAAGCTAATCCTTAAACAGAACAACAAGTCGGGCAACGACAGAAAAACAATGAAGTTTTACAACGAACTGAACAGTTTCCTTGGACACCGACCGGCCAACAACCCTCCAAGTGGCTCAGTTTTAGAGACAGCGACGGTGTCTAGCCCTGACACTCCTAGTACTAGTACCAGCGACACCAGTGGTAAATTAAGCTCTCCCGTGTTATGAAATTAAACGTAGATCTAGTTCTTTCATTTCTGTTTTATTGCATTCCAGTCTTTAACTGAGTCATGATGACTCGACATCAACGAGCTTCTGTGAAACTGAAAGAATGACAGCTCAATGAAAATTTACGGCTGAATGCTACATGTGCATGCTTTGAATTTAAAACAAGTTGAAAATGAAACGCTTAACAGTTTGCATGATTTAAAACTGAAATTTAAATTTATGCAAGTGCTCATGAGATACTATTTTTTACATCACAAACTTTGCATTCTTTAGACCGGGATCTTCCAGAGACGCTGTCCAACTTTAAGACAGAACAATCTGATCCAGATAATGGCTTCTCTGATATTGGTAAATTAATTTTGATTAATTCAAGTTTAAAAATTAGTGTAGAGATGATATTTTGTGCTAATTTCGTCCCATATACTGAGTGAAGTTGAAGAACAGTTGATAGCTATGTAAAGGTCCGGACACACTAGGCGATTTCCATGCGAGTGAGTCGCGCGACTGAGTCGCCGACGATCGAGATACATGCGGCGATTTTCACCGGCGATTGAGTCAAGTTAACTTTTTTTTTCTTTTTTTTGCATTCAGATATGGAGAGTGAAGTCAAGATGAGGAGGAGGAGGAGGGAGGAGGTGAGGAGGAAGGGAGAGGAGGAGAGGAAGAGAGAAGTGATGGTGATGTATGTGGATAGTGATGGAGTAAAGGCGAGGGAAGGGGATGACAGGAGCGGTTAAGAAAAGGAGTCTGAGATGAAGAAGGGGTCATGGAGAAGAGTATGGGCAGGCAGGAGGAGGGAGGAGTTAATAGTGGTAGCTTGCCTGAATAGAGAGTGCTGAAGTTATAGCAAGGGCTATAGTGTAGTACAGTATGTAGGATGGTTATGTACAGGTAGGCATATCGTTGAGAGCCTAGTCATAGTACAGTAGTAGAGTACATTGTAGAATAGTAGTGTAGTAAGTAGATACATGTGGAGGTACAGTAATGTTATGTGAGCAAACGGTTTATGTATTCGTCACAATATTGGTATTGTGGTAAAATATTTTTCCTCTTATCATTCTGCTACTGGGCATGGCTGTAGGATGGAAGGAAAGACTGACATCAATTGTTACATATTATATTGTGAGGTGCTGTTCACACCGTGGGCCTAGGAGGATAGCTCAAGGTTATGTAGGACAAGCTTGCATCCTTGCTCCAGCTTCATTGCGGCGTGGGTTCGGCAATTACATTCATGCTACACACAACAACACCATCAACCACACATAAAGTCCATTGTGAGGTACTTTAGGAACGTCCTGGCTAGGATTATGGTTGGCGTGTTGGCCGCTCAGGCTGTTTGCACGATTTTCCTAGAGACTGGTTCAAATCATTGTAGCGAAACTCAGCAACGACATATTTGCAATATCCCAGTGGACAAAGAGCGTTTCAGGGTAATTTTACTGCGGATTCCGATTCACTTAATTGCTGTAGTGCGTTGCTGATCAATTGATTTTCTATAGTTGTGAGCGAAGTCTTTGTCCAAGCAAAAGTACTTTTTGCAACCACCCTCTAAGATGAATAGAAATAACCCAACTGCGCGGATTTCGTATAGTGAAGCCAGTGTCTGAGATCTATAACAAATCATATCCTAAAAACATTATTAATGTACAATCATAAATAATAATAATAATAATAATATAATAATATAAATAATAATTAATTCATAATAATATAATTCATAAATTCATAGCATATTAGGTAATATATCCATTCAAACTAATTTAATTATAGAACTGGGCTTATTATGTGTTTTTATTTTTCACCAGAAAATGCTTACATCCTCGACTTTTGAAGGAAAAGGGCTTCCCTCACAAGGCATGTTGGACCAATAGGATATCACAACATCCCTATATTATAATACGTGCTCATCAAGTAGATTACCATACAGACTATTTTATAACAAGGAAGAGTTATTTTTCCATCATTTTACCAAGTCAATGGACAGTAGACAGTTTTTAGGACAGTTTATTGAATGTGTAATTTGAATGGACAGGATAAAATGCATAAAAGCAAAAGTTTTTTTTGTTTTAAATTCACTAACAGCATTTTTTTATATAAAACTTATAAGGACTGAACCTTACTCAAATCCCCCCAACAGTTATTCAAAATAATGTACCGCTGTTTCTCAATATGATTCTTGGCATCCGGCATATCCTTTACTTCCCAATCTATGAAGCCCCTTCAGCCGGACCCCTGCGGCCTTCCCTGAACCACCTATTCTCTACTCAATATATATACTACATGTAAGACACTAAACTGTGAGAACCTAGCCTTCTCTTGGCAGGGCTTGAATAGAGTCGATGGAGGAATAGAATGAATACACTACATATGACAACTCGATCTGCTATAACAGGAATAGACATATAAAAAGATATAAAAAAAAATCCTCACAACAGCTGTCGAATCACAATGGAAATCACTTTCCACGCTGAGTGTAATTTCCGAGAACTACCCACACCCCCGCATTTCATACGAAATAAGAAAAATAACAAAACAATACTGCTTCAGCTGTGAGCATTGCAATAACCTCCGTGAACTTGCAAGGCCAGCAAGTCCCAGGTTATGACTGTCATCATGTATTAATCTCTCTCTTAACATCTCGTTAATTCGAAAAGGTTTCGTTATATCCTAAGGCCCAGAAGATTAATAGTACTTAATACACATAGAGAACCTATTTCATCATTCTTCATCCCACGGTACCACATCCCTATCGCGAATTTTCACCTTAGGTTAATGTTTTGGTGCTCCTGACCAAAACCTTTTTTATTCAGATCGTGTTCGGATAAGAGGGTCACTGTACATGTAAGCTAAATATCTTGCGCCCAGAGATAATAAAAATAATCAATAACTCATCAAAATAACATACAATCACACCCTCATGAACCCTAAAATGATGCTTTCCTTTGACGCCTGCTCCAGTGAATATCTTTCCCCTCTAACACTATTCATCGTCGTGTTTTTTGTCCCCGAGCCCGCCCCCCCCGCCCTCGCCCGCCCACCCGTCCACGTACCGCCCACATTGCATGGTGTCTGTGATGTACCGCCCATTGGTTTTCTGTCTGGTGCCGTGCATTTCAAGTGTCAGCCCGTGTAAGTGGCAATATGTTACTTTAATTGGCCTTCTATACCTAGCACATAATTACCAATTCGTGCTACACATATTAAAAGACTCACTCAAACTGGAGGGTCACCCCAAGTAAACAAAATTCTGGGATCTAATTTCACCTATATCAAACAATGAAACTGGTAATAGGACAGTCCATTTATAAATAAGACTAACAGGTACACCACCCCTAGTTTGTAGGCGTGTGGTGGGTTGGGGGGTGTACGGTGGAGATCGGCCGCGGTAACAGCGCCCCGCCCGCATATGCCATACACACACAACAAAGATTGGTCCTGGACAAACCAATCAGTTTTTTCATAAGTGGCACAAATGTCCCGTTTAGCGCATAGGAGTTAATTTATTCTGTTTTTCTAGAATAAACTTGATATATAAATATAGCACACGGGCCGGCCATGGCCCCGCTCGGGGCCTGGGGTTGGCGGTCATTTTCCGGCGCAAGTCACGTTATTGATACTCAACTTGGAATGTCGCACAAGCACACGAATTCTTTAATCATAAACCTAACCCATTCTTAAGAAGGGCACGAAAGCTGTGTTTGTATTTTGTTTGTTGGTTGGTTGGGGTGCTGGTGGGAGTGAATACTTTTGCAAAAAATGCAAGGGCGCACTTAAACATCAGCAGCCTCATACGTGCGGCCAGAAAACTGTTTTATTTACTTGCAATGTATATTAAGCGGACTAAGTTAGCAAGACTGAACACATCCATGAACAAAGAAACACAACTTCAGTCCTGTCAGTATTATCCTCAGGCATCGTATATAGTATTAAATCGTATATCGCATCGTATAGACATAGTATTAAACAAATCTAACTAACCAACTACATGTAGCAAAAAAAACAGATACTCCATTCACAGATCCTGATTGGTGGGTCTATCAGGTTCAGCATATCCTGGCTCGTATGGTCGCTGCATGCCTTGAAAAATCGTCAAATAACATGGCAAATTCTTCTCATCGTCTCGCTGCTGGCCTTTCCTCCCTTCTCCTCGCGCTCAGACCCTAGCAGCTTCCTCCCTCTTAACACATCTTCGCTTTGTCGACACTCGTATCTGGTGGAACGCTCACGTGGTCGGACATGTCCAACCTCCTACCCTCTCTCCAGCACCAATTTGCTCTCGATACCCAGTATCCATCTCCGAAAGATAAATACTGGTAATAATATCACATATCACTAGTAAAAAATGTGTTACTTAGTAAATAAACAATTGTGTTTTCTTTTGTATTTTCTCAGTAGCAGATCAATTACGGTTCGAAACCCGATCCCGTATATCCCTACCAATAGTATGTAATAAAGTTAAGACAACAAAGCTCCTGATATGAGCTCTCTCAGACAATACAAGCCGTCACAACGGAGTATGCAGTGATCGATGTGTGCTGACCACCGCTAACTTCGGTCCTGTAACCGATGACGATGATAAGTAACGTTGTCCGTCTGTACTATTATTACTCGGTACAGTGTGTTGGTTGTAACTGCTGGTGTTCTGTTTCAGTTAGTTGTTTGTTGTTGTTGTTGCTTGTTTCTGCTGCTGCTGCTGCTTTTGTTGTGTTGTTGTTGTTTGTTTGTTGTTGTTGTTTGCAGTCACTTGGATGAACGTGCAGCTTAGACACTGTATTAACAACAGGAAACCAAAATCAGACGTACGTAACAACAACGTACACGACAACCCAACAACTAAATACAACTAATGACATTGACAACTAACACACTACAACGACATACAACTAACGCGACAACAGTCAACTAAAAACAACAACAACTACAACAACAGACGAAGCTAGAGCAAACAACGAACCAACAACTGAACAACAAACGTAGCAGAGTCAACAACGGAACTCAACGAACAAGCAACTTACAACGAACAACAACCAAACAACTTAGCAACAACAGACAACGAAAAGCAACAACAGATACAACAAGCAACAACAGACAACAATCCGTCGTTCATCCCGCCCCGGGTGGCAGATGTCTAACCCGTGTGTGGTGTGTGGTGTGTGCGTGTGGTGTAGCGTGCGTTGTGTGTGTGGCGTGTGGCGTGTCGCGTGCGCTGTGCGGCGTCGCGCGTGCGCGTCGCCGCCGTGCGCGTGCCGCGTGCGCTCGTCTGCGTGGTGCGCTGCGTGGTGCGTGTGTAATGTGTGTGACTGCCAGCCGACGTGATGCCGGTGTTTCCTTGGCACCAGGATAACTGG